CTATCTATCTATCTATCTATCTATCTATCTATCTATCTATCTATCTACCTACCTACCTATCCATCTACCTATTTGTTAAACATTGTCTGCTGTGTGCTGGTCTGGTGCTATGTATTCAAAGGTTGATTTCAGTGCCTTGAGAGCTGGTTATTGGCCTGCCATGGGCATTGTTATAATACTGAGCTCCTGTAACTGTGTGATGTGAAGGAATGTTCCCCAGTAATCCCTGGCTTTCTGACTAAATGGCCTATATCTGGGCAGGGCAGAAGGAAGTAGGTGTGGCTAAGGTTCTCTGGCTTTGGGGGCAGAAAGGATTTTGAGTAGAAAGACAGGTTCCAGAAGAGGGAGAGGAAGAAAGCTGAGAGTCATTATGGCTTAACATGGGAGAAGCACATGCTGGCATGGATGGAGGAAATGATACAGATGTACAAGTATTTATGGAATTATGGATGGGAGGTAGCCTGGTATGGGCTTAAAAGAAAAGGTAATTTAGAAGGTTACTTTCTGCTTTGCCCCGGGTGATATAAGACTGTTCTAAAATCTGTCAGTTGTCTGTGTCTTAAACTGATTGTGACAGTGTAATAATTGTAGGGCTAATAATAAACATTATTAGACCATACCCTTAAATTAATCACAACAAGGGTCTCTACGTGTCACCTTGACTATACAGGAACTCACTATGTAGACCATGCTGGCCTTGAACTCAGAGATTTACCAGATTCTACCTTCCAAGTGCTGGAAATAAAGACATGTGCCACCATGCCTGGCCCAAAAATGTCGTTTTGATATCAAACATTTGACTTACTTTAAAAACTAGTTCTGTGTGTCTCTGTGTGTAGCAGTGAATTTAATTGGACTTACAGAATCATGAATGAGTGAGAGGCTATTTACCTGACCATGAGCAACCCACCAGTGGTTCATCACTGAAGAATATATCTTCCTCTCCCAGAAACTATATTCTTTTCTTTTAATTTTAATTTTACTCTTTTATATTAATTACAGTTTATTCACTTTGTAAAGCAGCTACAGGCTCCTCCCAATCCTACCATTCCTTCCTCATCAATTCCCATGCTCCTCTTCAAGTCCACTGATAGTGGAGGTCCTCCCCTTCCATCTGACCCTAGCCTATAAAGTCTCCTCAGGACTAGCTACATTATCTTCATCTGTTATCTGGTAAGCCTGCTCCCCCACTTAGGAGAAGGTGATAAAAGGGCCAGCCACTATGTTCATGTCAGAGATAGTCCCTATTCACCTTACTAGGGAACCCACTTGGTTACTGTGCTGCCATGGGCTACATCTGTGCAGTGGTTCTAGGTTATCTCCATGAATGGTCCTTGGTTGGAGTATCAGTCTTAGAAAAGAACCCTGGGACCATATTTTTTGGTTCTGTTGCTCTCTTTGTAGATCTCTTATCCCTTCGAGGACTTTCTATCTCCTCCTTCTTTCTTAAGTTTCTCTGCACTCTGCCCAAAATTTGGATATGAGCTTCAGCATCTGCTTTGTTAACCAGCTGGGTAGTATTTCAGAGGCCCTCTGTGGTAGGCTCCTGTCCTGTTTTCTGTTTTTCCCTCTTCCGATGTCCATCTGGTTTGCCTTTCTGAGAGGGGATTGATCATCTTACCCAGGGTTCTCCTTCTTTCTTAGCTTCTTTAGGTGTAAAGATTTTAGTATGTTTATCCTATATTATATGTCTAAGTAGCCAGTTATACGTGAGTATATACTATTGTGATATATTAATATTTACTGTTGATATATCTTTTAGTAAAGCTGTGGTTAGTCCTAAACAGCTTTATAACAAAATCACCACACAGAGACTAGAATTTATTTAATTAACTTAGAACACAATGCTGGGCAATAGTTTTTCCATCCAAAACTTCCAAGCCTGCATAATTTCCTACCATTCAGATTCATTCATTATACTTGTTTTAGTGATATGATTCTCCACGTGGTTCCATGACCTCTCCTCCAGATTCTCCTCCTCTACTCCTACTTTCTTCCTCTTCCCCCGGTTTTGGACAAGAATGTCCCACCCTGTTGTTTTAATTGAAAATTTAGAGAACAAATGGTGGCATGTTTACACAAACCTGAGACATGTGATGCTTAGAACAAGCATCACAATGCAATGTCCAATTTGAAACCAGATAGTGGGAGAGAGAAATCAGCATTTGAATGAACAAGGTTAAGGTGTATTCATTCCAAAAGAACATTATATCAACATTTTCCCCTTTAAGTCAAATAAAAGGCTCCTTTTCTTTCAAAACAATAATAATTATGAAATTATGAAAACTATTAGGCAAAATCTTTATGTGCAATATCCAGTCAATGAGTATTTAGCAACATAGGAGAAAGTATCTGATTTTACTATCTATCTTGACAAATTTATTCTATACCTAAATTAAATTTTATGCTTATTGATTTTAACTATATTAAAACATTTTCTTAAATTCTAAACAACTTAAGCTTAATTGTGGAACTATGAGTATTTGGTCTTCAACCCTATCAGAGACTTGAGAAGGAATAGAATTAGTTACTGGAGTAAATAGGAAGTGCATGTCAGCAGCTATCAAAAAAGACTGCCTGAACAGTCACCCATAACTCTCTATAATGTTAGAGCATCATCTTCAGCCTTCTGTCTCAGAATATTTGACAGACATAAATGTGAAGCAGGAACTATTTAGGACTTGCTTACCCTGTCTCAGCAGAGTTTGGCAGTCAACTTGTCCTTCATATAAATTTATCCATTTTTGGCAGACTTTGTCTGTCATGAAGGGAGGGTATTCTCTTTACCTGAGTGGCTCATTTGCCATGTTTGAAGCCATCACCATATGGGGGTTCTTTGATGCTCATCATCTTCTTTGAGGTTGAAGGGGTGCGATCAGGAGATAACCTGTCTCACTGTCAAAGAATTTTTAAAATAATAAAGACATTTTTAAATGCCATGTTCTGTAGTTCTCTGAAGTTTTTGAAGACTACCTATCTTTTTTATTTATTTTTACATTTTTTTCTTTATTAATTACACTTTATTCCCTTTGTATCCCCCCTGTGGTTCCCTCCTCCTCCCATCCCAATCCCTCCCTTCCTCCATTCTCTGCATGCATGCCCCTCCACAAGTCCACTGATAGGGGAGGTCTTCTTTTCCTTCCTTCTCATCCTAGTCAATTAGGTCTTATCAGGAGTGGCTGCATTGTCTTCTTTTGTGGCCTGGTAATGCTGCTTCCCCCCTCAGGGGAAGGTAATTAAAGAGCCAGGCCAATCAGTTCATGTCAGAGACAGTCCCTGTTCCTATTACAATGGAACCCACTTGGATACTGAACTGCCATGGGCTACATCTGTGCAGGGGTCTTAGGTTATATCCATTCATAGTCCTTGGTTGGAGTATCAGTCTCAGGAAAGACCCCTGTGCTCAGATTTTTTGGTTCTGTTGCTCTTCTTGTGGAGTTCTTGTCCTCTCCAGATCTTACTGTTTCCCACTTCTTTCCTAAGATTCTCTGCACTCTGCCCAAAGGTTGGCCATAAGTCTCAGCATCTGCATTGATAGTCTTCAGGACAGAGCTTTTCAGAGGTCCTCTGTGTCAGGCTCCTGACTTGTTCCCTCTTTTCTCCTTCTTCTGATGTCCAGCCTCTTTGCCTTTCTGGATAGGAATTGAGCATTTTAGCAAGAGTCCTCTCTCTTGATTAGTTTCTTTAGGTATACAGATTTTAGTAGGTTTATCCTATATTAAATGTCTATATGAGTGAATATATACCGTGTGCATTTTTCTGCTTCTGGGACAGCTCGCTCAGGATGATCTTTTCCAGATCCCACCATTTACCTGCAAATTTCATGATTTCCTTGTTTTTTATTGCTGAGTAATATTCCATTGTGTAGATATACCACAATTTGTGCATCCATTCTTCAGTTGAGGGGCATCTGGGGTGTTTCCAGCTTCTGCCTATTACAAATAAGGCTACTACAAACATGGTTGAGCAAATGTCCTTATTGTGTACTTGAGAATCTTTTGGATATATACCTAGGAGTGGTATAGCTGGATCTTGAGGTACAACCAGTCTGGAAAGCAATCTGGCGCTTTCTCAGACAACTAAGACTACCTATCTTTCTGTAATCAATCTGTCTATGAAATCTATCTGTTAAACCTAGTATGTATACTACTTTATAAATTATTGTCTGACATGACTATGAGTTGATTAACTAGGAATTAACTTGTATTACCTAATACTCTAACCAGTTTTAATAGCAGTTTAAAAATATTGCAGGTAACCTTGAATTTGTATCAGTATATTAAAGCTTATACCAATGTATCAAAAATAGACTTATTTTGCATCAATATGCAAAATCCTATACCAGAGTTAAAATTAACTTTATTTGAGAATAACAAATCAAACCCTAAGTTGAGTAGATTTGATAATGTATCTTTTGTCTTATTCCCATAAGATATCTCTGTATATTCCTTTCTTTCTTTTTAACCCCCTTTTTCCTTATCTAAGAAAGAAAGATAGAGAAAAGAAAAAGGAAACAAGGGTATTACCTTGTTTCACTCTGAATAAGACCATTAATAATTTATAAACATCTCCCAATGACAATAAAAATTTGTAGCCATAGAAAACATATCCAATCCCAATACCAAACACATACCCAATACCAAAAACATACCAAATCCTCCCTTAAGAAAAATTGGATGTCATTCTCGTGGATTTTCTCTAGCTTGTATTTTGGAAAGGTAGAAATCCCTAAAGGGAGCCCAAAGAAAATTGGTTAATTAAGCAAGCAACATTTGTGGTCCAGTCTTTGAATGTTGAGAAATTTCAGGCTTAATAAAAGTCCTGTTGA